TGACGTCACGATGCCGCCCCGGGGCGCGCTGGGAAATGGAGTCCGCAGCGCTCAGACGTGATGGCGGTCGCCGGACGGGGTAGGGTGGGGCAGGAGGCCCACAGCGGGGCGTGCTGGGAAATGGAGTCTATCAGGAAGTTACTAAACTCGCTGTCCCGCAAGGGACTCTGGGAAGTTGGAAGCTCCAAGGCGTCCAATGGAGACGGCCTGGATGAGGGCGCGCACGGAGGAACGCTGGGAAACAGACTCTAGAGGGAAAAGAGGCCCGGTGGCGTGCCTGGAAATGTAGTCCCCCATTTAAAGGGGACAAAACAGGACACCCCCCCCCACACACACACACACAAAGCTGACGGGAAATGACGGTCAGAGAGAGGAGGTAGAGGGTCGAAGATTTAGCTCAGTGGTTCCACCGCGCAAGGACCAGGGTTCGATCCCAGATACCAAAACACAAAAACAAACATACCAGGAAGAGGGAGACCAAAAAGATACACTGCAGGACTAATTTTTCCCTACACTTTATCACATTTCTATAGGTTATTTTGGTTCTTGTATCTGCCTCCTCCTTTAAGTAGAAATAACCTCCATGAGGCACGGCTATTTGTCCTCTGTGTTTACTACCTATTTCGTGTATCGGGCTGAGCTTAAGTGTAGGATGAAAAATACTTTTGAATGAACGACCTACGTGAGAAAAACAAGACCCCCTTGGGAAACTGAGTCCTTAACTCGCAAGCCCTTAAAGACAATCACTCCCGACTTCTCCCGGTGACCGCCCGGGGCATGCTGGGAAATAAAGATGATTGGGACAAAGGTCAGGGCACTCCGCCCATAATCTAGTGCACGCTGGGAAATATAGTCCTCGATGCTATGCCCCAAAGGCCCAGCTCGTCCGGGGTCGGGTCCAAAGCGCCTCAGGAAATTAGGCTCCAGGGCAAGAGAAGTCCCAAGGCGCTAATGATATTCCTTGACTCACAATGGGACGAGGCACCCAAGGGGTATTTTCTCACTGACAGCATCCTCCTGACCCACCCCGGGCCATGGAGCACACTGGGAAGTGTAGTCTAGGCTCAAGCACATTCTATCCATGACATGCTGGGATTTGTAGTACAGGGCAAGGTTCTCCAGTAGGTTTGGAAGGTCAGCCTTCTTATAATAGACCCAAGAGATAAGCACACTTGGACCCTGACTTTGGGTGTCCTGCCACTAAACCCAAAATGAGGAAGATAAAAACACTTTGGGATGGGAATGGAAACCCATAATAATCACAAAGAAAGCTTCCAAAACCTGGACAGAGGCAACGAAGTTTTCCCCAAAGAACATTGGAGCTGTCCATATGCTCTGAAGTCGTCAGGCTTGCACAGAGACATAAACTACGAATCCCATGAGGTCTGGGAGGGCTGGCCTTAGTCATAAGGAGATGCTCCTGTGGCTGTGGACTTGTGTGGCCCTTAAACCGACATTTTCCCCACCTGCACACAAATATCCTTCTCCCACGGAGACAGGAAGTAGATCTTACATGTGTTATTGTGTGTGGCACTGTTATGTGTCCCTATCCCCAGAATAATTGTGACATGTATAATTGTGTATTTGCTGCCTGTGGCTATGTGTTTATGAATGTCTGTCTTTCTTTCCATAACTACAATTACCTGCAGGTAACAGGTTATCTGGTTGACCCACACCACCCGTTGCTCTCTGGCCATAAACTATCAGCAGTCTTTACTTAATTTGACCAGTAGGTTTAGTCTTTGACTTTGTTTGCTTGTCTTATGAGACAGAGTCTCACTGTGTAACCCAGGAAGGCCTTTGATTCTCAGCAATCCTCCTGCCTCAGCCTTCCACATGCTGGGATCACAGGTGTAAGCCACCACACCCATCTTGACTGCTATTTTTATAATCCTGTTCTACTTCAGTGGTTAGGAATTCCTGCTCTGTACTTGACATCTTGGGTTTGAATCTCACCTCTGCTACTTCCTGGGACCAGAGGATAGTCTCCATCTCAGCCTCCTGCAGTTGTGGATGTGGTATAGATGACTCTCAGATTCACAGCTGACTCCATGGTTGTATGCAGGCACCTTCACATGCCACTTGATAAGACTGTCTCCTGTCCTTGTCTTTTGGTTGTTGGTTTTATTATTTGTTTATTTTTGCCAAACTGTTTTGGGGATTTTTTTGTTTTGTTTTGTTTTTTGTTTTTGGTACCAGGAATTGAACTTGGGCCATATGCACTTGCAAGGTAGGTGGTAGAACCACTGAGCCAAATCTCTGGCCATTATTTATTTATTTATTTATTTATTTATTTATTTATTTATTTATTTATTTATTTATTTTGAGACAGGATCTCACTGTGCAGTTCAGATGGCTTTGAATTGACTGTGTAGCCCAGGCTGGCCTTGAACTCACAGTGATCCTCCTGCCTCAGCCTCCCAAGTGCTGGGATGACAGGTGTGGCCCACCACACCCAGCTTGTCCTGTTTTTTGTTGGTGAAGTTTCATCTGTTTCTTTGGCCTGATGTTTTCTCTCAGCTCTTACAGCAGAATTTCAGTTCTTAGAGTGGAAACTGGAGACCGCCCCCTGCTGGTGAAAATATTCTCATAAAGATAAGAAGATGGTGTTCCCTCTGCTTGCAGTCCCTCTGTCTCAGCCCGCCTCAGTGCTAGGATTACAGGGTTACATCGGCACCCCAGTTGAACCTGATTTTATTTATTTTTTATTTTTTTGGTTTTTTGAGACAGGGTCTCACTATGTAGTTGAGACTGACCTGGAACTCACTATGTAGCCCAGGCTGGTCTCGAACTCACAGCGATCCTCTTGCTTCAGCCTCCCAAGTGCTGGGATTACAGGTATGCGCCACCAGGCCCGGCTTGAACCTGATTTTAAGCAGGGTTCAGCAGTCCTCCTAGGATAACAGCTACACTTCCCAGCATCCCCTGCAACTGAGTAGGGCGAGGTATCTGTGCAATGGCAGATGGGAGCATGTCTGAATTTTGTGGATGGACAAGCTGTGTTCACCCCTCCATGGGTGACGGGCACTCAGGCTGTGTCCACTGCCAGGCAGGAAGGACAGCACTGTGAGTGGTATGCAGTGGGTTTTGCCTGTGTACACGCTTTCAGTTCCCAGAGAAACTGCTGGGCCCTGTGCAAGGTCTGTTTCTGTCTGGAGGAACCAGCCTGCTCCCACGTGGTGCTCCTGCCAGTATGGGAGGGTTCACAAGACATTTACTTTGGCTTGAGACAGGGTTTCACCGTGGAGCCCAGGCTGGCCTTGAGCTCACAGCGATCCTCCTGCCTCAGCCTCCTATGTGCACCACCACACCGGGCTTCATTTCCATGATCGTTCATGACTCTCCCAAGCGATAGCCACTTGTGCTCATGAATAAGCGTGAGCGGCTAGCTTGCAGTGGCCAGCTGCATATTAATAACGAAGCTAGAGCACTCAGCAGGTGTTACGGGGAGAACGTTTATTTCGAGTTACGATGAGAAACTCTGCCAGCTCCCTGCGCCCCCGGTCACATCCAGGCGTTCTCACTTCCAGCGGCCTCCGACTCGGCCCTTTCCTGCACCCTTCCGGCTGCGGGGAGGACGCAGGGTCAGAAGGGGCTCCCCAGGCCCCGTCCCAGAAAGCCCCCCGAAGAGGTGGCAAAGGCCTGCAGTGGCCACGCTGGCCCCGTGGCAGGGAAATCTGTGGCGAGTTCTGGGGCTGCAAGCGCCATGAGGAAGGGCGGGGGCCACACCAGGGCCCTGCCCGGCGGGCGACCAGCGGGCTCCCCTCCAGCCACGGCCTTGCCTCCTGCCCCCAGGGCCCGAGGTCTGGTTCCCACTGCCACAGGAAGCGGGGTTGCCAGGGAGACAGGCGGGTGAGCCGCGGGCCCCAGCCACACTTACAACTTCTGCGCGTGGCTGATGCGGTTGTACAGCACGTTGATCTGGGGACAGAGGGGCAGAGGCATCAGCTGGGACGGCCCGGGGGCCCCCCACGCCCGACCAGCGCCCGCGGAGGCGGCTCCCACCTCGTATTTCTGCTGCTTCAGCTTCGCCATCAGGTCGAACTTCTCCGACTCCAGCTGGTGGATCCAGTCTGACAGCTCCTGGGCCTTCTCCCTGGTGCGCGGGGCGGTGCGGGGCGGTGAGGAGGACAGGGCGGGCGGGATGCGGGGTCCCGGGACAGGGCGTGGACACTGACCGGAGCTGCTCCTCGCCCATGTGCTCGATGTTCAGGGGCTTCTTCCGCTCGGACAGGACCCGCAGCTTCGTCTCCCGCCCGGTCTGCCGCTTGCCTCGCTTCTGCTCCGCCTGAGGAGGGCCGGGGACTGAGCCTGCGCCTCCCTCCTCTCCGTCCAGAACCCACATCCTGGCTCCCTCCCTCCCGCTTTGGATGGCGGCCCTCAGGCTCCCAGGCCGCTCACCTTGACCAGGTAGCCCCCGAAATGGGCCCCCATGTTGGACAGCACTTTCTTCTTCTTGGCGTCGTCCTCTGCGCGCTTCTTGGCCTCCTCCTCCTCCTTCCGCATCTTCTCCTCCTGCAGAAACAGAGGCTGGGCCAGGCGCCTCCAACCGGAGGGCGAGGGCGGGCTGGCGGGCAAGGGCCAGGCCGTGTGCCGCTCACTGCGTCCCCAGCCCGCAGTGGCAATGGCAGCTCCGCTGTTCAACCTCCGTGCAGTGCACACGCTGACCGCTCTGGGCTTCGTCTCCCTGCACCTGGGAGAGGACACCGCCCGTCCTCATCCCTCAGCGGGAAAGGAGGCTGCGGCTGCTGCTGCCCAGGCCCAGGAGCTGTGGGGACCGAGGGAGGTGGCGGCGCGGTGTCCTGCGCATCACACACCCCTACTGTAATTAGTTTCCTATCCTCACGGTGAATGCACATTTGGTAGCCAAAGATAATGCGATTTTGTTTTTTGCGGGGGGTGTTCAACCCAGGGCCTTCGCACTGAGCTATATCCCTGGCCCAGGCTGACCCTCCTGCCTCAGCCTCAAGTGCCAGGATGATTGGGGTGCAAGCTGAATGTCTCTCAGTTCTGCAGGCCAGAAGGGGGGGCCTCCTGCTCCCTACCCCCGCTCCTAGAGGGGGCAGGTGGGCCTCTGGCTCCTCCCCCATCTTCAGTCTTCAAATCCCCTCCCACCTCTGGCTCAGGAGGGCCGGTGACAACCTAGGGTGCCCAGGAGCTGCAGGGCAGCCTCCCATCTCAAGACTTTCGTGGGGCTGCTGGCACACACTGGTATTCCGAGCATTCTGGGAGGCTGAGACAAGAAGATTGCAGGTGTACATGCGGCCTGGGAAGCTTAAGTGACTTATGGGGACCCTGTCTGAAAATTAAACTTAAAAATGGGGCTAGGGATGGAGCTCCGTGTGACAGCACTAGATTTAATCATCAGTAACAAACAGGCACATGTGTATGCACACGCGCACACACACACACACACACACACACACACACACAGGACCTTGAATTTAATGGATCTTTGGGGTTTTTTTTTGTTTTGTTTTGTTTTTGAGACAGGGTCTCAATATGTAGTGGAGACTGACCTGGAACTCACTATGTAGCCCAGGCTGGTTTCAAACTCTCAGCGGTCCTCCTGCCTCAGCCTCCTGAGTGCTGGGATTACAGGTGCACACCACCACGCCCAGCTTTTAATGGATCTTTGAAGTCCCCTCCACCATGTGAGCTACCAACTCATGTTCTGTGACTGTGCCGTGGGCAACTCCAGGGGCCACCATTATGCCAGCTGCCCCACCTACTCCTAGCCTTTGGCATGTGGCTCAAGTGTGGGATGAGGACTTGCTTCTCAATGCCAAGGCAGGCAGTGTCTGCAGGCCTGAACCAACCAGAGCACCCTAGCTGGCTCCTCACACACCCCACCAGCTCCCAAGGGCACACAGTCTGGCACCTCCCACGTCAGTGCAGGAGACACAGCAAAGCCAGTGTGCTCATGGCCGAGGAGTGAGGGTGAGTGACCACTGCAGATTCCCAGGATTTCCTGGGCTAGACCAAGAGGAGCTGAGCAGCCTAGTGTTCTCAGAAACATATGCCTAAATGTTAGGAGAAAAGTGTAGTTTTTGTGCCACCATGTGAGTCCCTTGATCCAGCCGTGCCTGAAGCCAGCCCTTGACCTTATGTATGAGGCAATGAAGTCCCCTTGCTGATGGCTGGGGTTTCCATCCCTCCTAACTGAAAGATCCTTAATTCATACAGTAGAGGGGCTTTCTCAGAAGCACAGAGAATATCAGAAAATGAGATATAGCACTGGAGGAATAAGTAACATCTGGCCTCCCCAGGAGGGGCGACACCCACCGCCAGCTTGGCCTGCCGCTCGCGCTCCTTCTCGGTCCTGAAGCGCTGCTGCTCAGCCCTCTCTGCCCGGCGCCGCTCCTGGGAAGACAGGAGAGTGAGGGGTGCAGAGACGGCCACCCGCCAGCCAGCCCTTTCTGGGTGGGCTACGTCTATAATCGCAGCACTCGAGGCTGAGGCAGGAGGATCACAAGTTTGAGCCCAGCTTGGGCAATTTAGCCATTTATTGGGGTCTTGTCTCAAAATAAAAAATAAAAAGGGCTGGGGGTGGAGTTCAGTGCAAAGGCCTTGGGTTCAACCCCCAGGGTCGACAAGACCCAGAGACACTCACAATGCGATCCTTCAGCGCCACCAGCTCTTCCTCCTCCTTCTTGCGCTGCTCGAAGTGCACATCAATGAGGGTCTGCAGCTCCAGGAGGTCCTTCTCCATGCGCTTGCGGTGGATGTCCTGGGGGTAACAGGGAGGGACCCCGGAGCTGCTGCACTGGGCCTGGCGGGCACCCAGCAGGGGCAGGGCCCACCGAGGCGTGGCTCTGGGCACGGGCATGTCTCTACTTACATCGAAGTCCACGCGCTCCCCCTCTGGGATCTTGGGGGGAATCAAGGGGGTTACCACTGGACGGCTGTGTGCAGAGGATGAGAGAGGCCATGAGTGGGGAAAAGCTTCCCCCATGGCCCCACAACTTCTCAGTGCACTCCTCTGTATGGTGGTGCCCCAAGCTTTTATGACCCAGGGCCTTTGCACATGCCCGGGCAGTTCTGCTTATATGCAGGTCTGGGCCTGGACTGCCTCCTTGCGTTTCCAAGCCCTATCCCCATCAGCACCTCTTCCAGCTCAGGTGCTTACAGCAGAGTGGCCCGGCTCTCACTGTCCCCCGCCTGCTCACACTCGGCCACACATGCAACCTCTCTGGCCCTGACCCGTCCACCCCACCAGCTGTCGCCTGCTCCCTGCAGGACTCCACATCCTGACTGCCTGACCCGGGCCCTGGCCAGGCTTTGGTCCTTGCACAGGGTGGCCCTGCCCAGCCGCAGTGAGGGCCTGGAGCCTGGCTAAAGCTGGTGGCTGGCTCCTGACTTGCAGCCCTTGTCCTGCCACACCCTGTCTCCGGTGGGGACACCTAGGAGGCTGGGATGGGGCCCCACCCCCAGGCTCTCACCTAGGTTTGGGGCGCTCCTCTTCTGATGGTGAGGGGGATACAAAGAGACCATTAGCAAGAGTCTAGGAGTGCAGCCCCCCAGCCCCAGGAGACAGGGAAAGACCCCCAAGGGCAGTTCTGGGGAAGGGCACGGGGAGAAGAGGTCAGATAAGTGGGGACACGGACAGGAGGATGAGGGTCACACGCATCAGATATACATTCAGCACTGGTATGGGGACCCCCCCTTTCTGGAACCCAAGCGTCCAGACCCCCAGACCTGTCCCCAGGTGTAAGGCGGATCCGGCGGTGAGAGTCTCCCACCCCTCTCGGCTCCATCCTAGCCCCTCCCCGTCTGGGACCTAGCCACC